TGTTTTCCGACCACCGGAAGTCCCCTCTGAGCTCAGTGCGCGAGAACTACAGCCCCCAGCATGCCCTGCAGCACGGCCGGCTGTCACGTGACTTCCTGTCTGCCACCCTGGGATGCTGCAGCCACTGGGTCAAGGCCTCTCATTCCCGTCTTCTTTGTCGCTGGCGCTCAATTTTATGACCCGGCCCTTCATGATAATCCAAAATTCAAGAGATGAAGTCTCCCTATCTTTGCTTCTAAGGAGCTGCCTGGTGGTACATCTTTTCTTCCAAGACAAATTTTCAAAGAAATTTCCCAGAAGTCCATGGTATGCCTCTTTAATGATTCTCTACCAACAGCCTAATTCAAAAGCATCGCTTCTTCTTCAATCCTTATCCATTTTTCCCCCCCTCTCTCAAAGTTTCCGGGCACATAATTCACAATGCGGTTTCATCACATCAAGAAGAGTGGCAGCATGCCCCATCTGCCCTAAACATTTTCTCCATTCTTTCCTGTTATCCACTGGCTTTTTGGTTTGTGTTTGTTTTAAAGAAACGTTTTACAGAGGTCTTGGGCATCAGCTGTCCAAAGCACTACATCGTTTGACTTCTTGCCTGCTGCTGCCACGGGCGTCGTTGACCGTGGATCAAAGGCAAAGGGCATCCTTGACCACGTGAACATTTCTCTCTGGTCTCGGGACGCTGTGTTGAATTTTGTCACAGTCCGGTGGCGAGGATTTTGGTTTTCGTCGTATTTCGCTGCAATCCCTACGAGGTCAGGAAGGCTCAAGAATCCATATAATTGGAAGCCTGATGGGGATGGAGCTGAGGTTGGGGGGGAGGGTTTTCTCAAACTCGAGGAAAGAAGCTAGTCTTCCGGATGTCCATGCCCTCAAAGGTCAAAGCTAAGCCTACGATGACCAGACCTACGACTCCCAGAATGCCCTGGGGGAGGGACGCTCAACCAACCAACCTCGGGCCCAGGGGCCGATGGGCATTTCATTTCTGGGCGGTGATGGAAAGGCATGAGATGGGACGGCAGCGGGGCCTACCTCACCCAGGAACCAGGTGGTGAGGAAGCCGAAGAGGACGGCGTCGTTGGCCTCCCGGTCGTACCAGGGCACCCCGATATTGCAGGTGTCCCACAGCTCCCCCTTCCAGCGTTCCAGCGCCCAGGCCGAGGCCCCCACATCCAGGAGCACCACCAGGGGGCCCCCCTCGATCAGCCAGCGTCCAAAATAAACCTGGGGAGACCCACAAAGAGCTTCAGGGCTTGTGCCACTCCGGGCCACCAATGTCTGTGCCCATCCCATCCGCTGTCTGCCCCTGCTGCCAGCCTCCGTTTCTTTCCCTTTGTTTCCGCATCTGCTGCTACGCCGGACCCTCGTGGCCTTATTTCTCCCCGCCTGCCTCACTTCTCTTATTAGCCGCTACTGTTTCCCACTGGAATATTTCCATCCCAGGGGCAACCCCTTCCCCACTTCTTGGTTTTGTTTCTCTCTCTGCTACCCGTCTCTCCTTACAGGCTCCTCCTTCCCGCGTCCTGTCGCCCTGTCTCCCAACGCTCCCCCAAGAGCTCTCCTGCCGCTGTGGGTTACATGTTGGGCTGCTAGCCGCAAGGAGACCGGCAGTTCAAAACCACCAGCTGCTCCACGGGAGGAAGATGGGGCTTTCTACTCCTGTCAAGATTCACAGCCCA